CCCCCAAAGGGAACCTACCCACATGCCGCGGAGTCCGGTTCACGACAGGCCCGTCGCATAACAGGCACAATTGCATTCGCGCATGGGACCCCCCTCGACGGGGGGGTGGGGGGGGGGGTGTAGTGGGATAGCTAGCGTGGCGTGGTCTGGCCCGGCCTGGTGTGGTTTCTGCCATCTTGACGGGTGTGCGGCCCCAGAAGTAACCCTTTCCCTCCCTTCCGGCCCGAAACATTGTTGGCCAGATTCAAGAGACCACGCGGTCACGGCCACGGCCTTCCGATGGCGAACGTTGGGATGACGGTGGATCATAGGGCGGCAGGTGTTACCCTAGTTGCCTGCCGCTCAAGCTGCATGGAAAATGCAAGAACATTAGCACCGAGGTTGGTTGGTGCGGGAAAAAAAAAGGAAAAAGGAAAGACATGTGGTATGTGGTGCTACCGTCTCTCGTGGGGGAACAAGACCGATTCACCAAACACCACAGGCTTCGGACAGACCGGCCAATGCAACATGCATGTTGGCCTCGCGGCGGGCCATGTAATGTACTGTACTTTGCGGGATTTCGGTGCCAGACAGCAAACGAGTCATAAATCAACTTGGCCAGGCAGGCGGTCTATCGACAAGAAAAAAGTTGGCCGGCCTGCTTACTCTATGTAAATAAACACCGCACCGCCCGCACCGGCATTGCTGCCACCTCCCGCTTTGCGTATAACCGGGTTAAGCGAGCGGGCAAGAAAACGGGTAAGGCGGCCGGGTGAATGGCGCTGGAGCGCTGGCGCGCAATCGCTAAAGCACCTCACCCGATCCTACACCTTTCTGCCGCCGCTTTCACATCACCGACAAACCTCTCCTCAAGGACGGAAACGGAGTTTATGCCCAACTGCGGAAGGACACAACCCAACCCATCACCGTCTCAAAAACCGGCGGAACCAACCACCACCTCTTCTCCACGCCACCCCTCCCCCCCTACCGCAGGTGCATGACCATGACATCCGGCTCCTCGACAATAGCCCGCACGACCTCGGCGGCCCTCGCCATCGTCGCCCCATCAACAACACGGTGATCCGCGCTCCAGCTGAAATTGCACACCTGCCGCTTCACGACACGGTCCTCCTCACCAGGCACCGTCGAAAACGCCGGGACGGTGCGCATGCGGCCGACGCCGAGGATGGCGACCTCGCGCTCGACGACGACGGGCGACAGGTAGGTGCCGCCGATGCTGCCGATGTTGCTGACGGTGATGGTGCCGCCGGCCATGTCCTGGGGCGCGAGGCGGCCGGCCACCGCCAGCGCCTGCAGCCGGGCCAGCTCCGCCGCGATGCCCAGGATGTTGAGCGCGCCCACGTTCTTCACCACGGGCACCAGCAAGCCCGAAGGCGTGTCCATGGCCACGCCGATGTTGTGCTGGCTGCGCAGCACCAGGCTGGGCTTGCCGCTGGCGCTGTCGGCGTCCACGCGCGCGTTGAGCGTCGGGTATTTGTAGAGCGACATGGAGACGGCTTTGATGATGAAGGGGAGGTAGGAGAGCTTGCCGACTTGGCTGTCGCTCAGGCCGGACTTGGCGAGGACTCGGTTGAGGCGCCCGCGGAGTTCGACGAGTGAGGTGAAGTCGACTTCGTCGGCGTAGAGGAAGTGCGGGATGCTGAGGGATCGCGTCATCGCCTTGACATCATCTCTTGCGTCCTCGTGAGCGCGACCGGTGTTT